ATTTCTAAATATATTAAAAAAATAAAAAAATTGAAAAATACTTAATATTTGGCAAATGAATCCAACATAATTACAAAAATAAGTCAAAATGATATATATATATAATCACAAATAAAAACATATAAATTAAAACATGCAAATAAAATAACTAAATATATAAATAAAATAGAAATCTGAGGATAAAAATTGAATCATGTTACAAAATTACCTGCAAAAGACTGCCCCATTCTTCACCAACTTAAAGAACCTTGAAAATGAAAAATTAAATCATCAGTATATAATTAAAACAATCAAAAATCAAAGATTAGAGAAAATAAATACAAATTTACATAATAAAACAATTAAAATGTGAAAATAAAACAGATGGTAAAAAAGGAATTAACATTAGTTTTGGTGTGTGAAGAACACGAATAAAAGTTAAAAAGAAATAAGAGTTGTAATGAATAATAAAAAGAAGAAGAAAGATGAAGAGATGAAAAAGTAGTGAAAACTTAAAGAGACTTATTGAAAGTTAGAAGAATAAGGGGTAAAGCTGGAGAAGGAAGAAAGAATGAAGCTGAAGAAGGAAGAAAACAATGAAAAAGAAGTTAGAGAAGTGGTAAGAAGAGATTGGATTGATCTAATATAGGCTCAATATTATTTTGGTTAGTAAAACTGACCAAAATAAAAAGATAAAAAATTCAAACATTTTTTTGGCAAAATTTTGAAAAAGAAGGTGGGGAACAGAAATTAATTTGAGCAATAATTCTGACCGAATTAAATATAGTAGACAATTCAAAAAATTCCATCAATTCAAAGGCAAATATTAATGGTTTTTTTATCTCTCTTTTTTTTTTAACCATCATTTTGGTCAAGCTTCATGACCGAATTAATTTGCAGAACTAGTTCGGTCAAACTTTTGACCAAATTAAAATCAAGTTTTTTTTTTTTTTTTGATTTAGAACAATTGTTCGGTCAAATATTTTGATTGAATTAAGTAATATTTTGATCAAAATATTTGACCGAATTAAAATAGTAAATTTTGTGAATATTTTAGTCACTATTATTGTCGAAATATGTTTAAATGGCAGTTGCAAAATAGAAGGCCTAGTTCAATTAATCTGCATGTTGCTGTATTTTCTACTTTTTACGTTTCCTATTTTTCACTTTATCTGTTTCTAGTTTTTTGACAATTTGTAAGTAATACAATTAAAATTCTACTAATTAAACTATTTCTAAATATATATTAAAACATTTAATTAAAAATTAATGTACAAGCTCATAAATAAAAAACTTAACCTAATATCATAATTAAAGTATCATGTCCTAAAATGGTAATTAAAGTACTATGTCATAGTCATACATGTCCATGCATATATAATAGTAAAGATGTTTGTGATACATTAAGACAAAGCCAACTATGCTCCCTCACTTGTCCCAACCCCTCCTCCTTCTTGTATCATAAAAAAACATCCTCTCCATCCTATCAACTTCTCTTGCAATGTCAGTTGATTCTTTTATAGTTTTATCACAGTCTATTGCAATTACACCACACGTTGAGATGACTAAACAAAACTATTAGGTATGGTATGTGGAGGACGCTTACGGTGTGACACTTCTTGCTCCGCAGGTCCATGTAAATGGGCATTCCAAAAAGTCGTCCATCCTTTGAAGGTCCACTTGAAACTTGGGACAAAAGTTAAGCATCAACTACTGTTGGCCATGTAGTTCTATCCGCCCATATTTCTGAATGACCTCTATAGTTAATCGTTCCTGCAATAAATGGTATAACATACTTACTCTATTATTTAATAAAGTATAAAAACATTATATACTCAACTATATACTTGCAACTATGATACTCAATATAATTATAAATAAAATTACTTAAAATTTCACAATTTATTATAAATTTATGAAAAATTTGGTAAAGTTTCCCCTAAAAACTATACTTTCTCCCTGTGAACAAAGTATAAAAATACATTCAACTACATATATATTTCTAGTTATGATATTCAATAAGATTAAAATACAATATGATTTCACTTAAATGAATGCATATATGAGAATTCAAATTGTCCTTAGTCAATTAATAAGGTATTGTTAATTTTAATTGATTTTTTAATATGACAAAAAATGAAAGAAAAAGGATAAGGTGACTTGCAAACAATTAGGCTAGGGACATATATATAGATGAATTTTAGTTAATACTACACATTATTAAAGACATCCAAAATGCCTATGAAATTTTTAGGCATAAGTCAACCACCATAATAAGTTGTAATTCTCTAATTAATCCTCTCATCAAACAAAATTGCCAATAAGATTCTAGAAAAGACGAAATACCATTCAGACAAAATACAAAATTAATAATTAATGGGGATCCACTTTTCAAACATGTAGTACCCATTAGCTTGGCACCTTTTTCTTCTTTATTTAATATATCTATACAATTTTGAATTCTCCTTTTTAATCTTGATTAGGGACTCAATATAATTATAAACATCATAATAAAATTACTTAAATTTTCACAATTCATTATAAATTTATAAAAAATTCAACAAAATTTTCTCTAAAAACTATGCTTTTCCCATGTGAACAAAGTATAAAAATACATTCAACCACATATATATTTCCAGCTATGATATTCAATAAAATTAAAATGCAATCTAATTTCACTTAATTTTAAATGATTTTTTAATACAAATAAAAATGAAAGAAAATCACTTAAATGAACCTCTCAGGAAATAATAATGGTAAAGAAATAATACTTACAGTATACTCCTGCGTCCGCTTATCAATTTATATTGGCATTTTATCTTTGTCCTTTAGATGGTGCTTTTTTTTTTTGCACGGATTACATCAACGAATGATGGATCCCTATGTTCAAGATCTTTTTCTTGTTGTAGTATCACATATTCAATTATTGTGTTAATTCAAACAAACATTATAATTAATATTAACATTATTATATAAATTATGATATGAAATCTAAAACATATAGGTAATTAACATTTTTATCAACATTTGCACAAAATCATAGATCCACCTGTGTGGGCTACCCTGGGGCCCTTGGCTCGATTTAGCTTTGCTTGCTCTCTATGTTTGTTGAACTGCGGGTCCTCCATCCATATGTACTTAAGCTTCTCCCAAACCTCATTAGACATGTATGACTTTTTTTTTTTTTTTTTGTGAAATTCTTCTTTCTACATGAAACCTAGATATCAGTCACCATCCGGGTATATCGATTTTCACAAACATGTAGAAATGCTATATATACAACACTCTCCTCAATAGGGTCCCGTATTTTGAAAAAAAAAATATAGGTATCATATATTTATACATTAATTGAAGAATATAAGAAAATGTACATATATAAATAACAACTTGTCATTATAAATTATTTAATAAAACTACAAACTTAAAAAGCTTGCTAGTACACCTCCTTGTGCTCACAAGAAATTGAGCCCCACCTTATGTATGCATCACACATATTTGACTTAAGGATGATTGAAATATCCTTTCAAACTTTCATTGGCAATGCCTTCCCATCCTAGTTCCCAATGCTCAGCCTCTAGGAAAGATACTTTGGCAATTTTTGGGCTTTTGCAAAACCTTGCCCCCTTTTGGGCTTTTGCAATACCTTGGCTCCTTTTGGGTTGGGGAAGTGAGGGTGCACTAGAGTTAGTGTCACTGACATTACCACATGTCTCTCCCTAGGTCTCCTTCACAATGGTACTTGAAGACCCAATTGCTTATGATTGATTTTTTCTTATAGGCCTTTGGGGAGCAACATCAACGGCCTTGTCACCCCTACAAGGTCTAGGTATGCGATTCATTGCAAAGAAAAAAAAATTAAGAAATAATATTACATTAGTATATGATTGAAAAAAAATTAGATTTAGACTTAAAAAATAAAAGGGAACATGAAATTTAAAGACAATATTTATACATATAATAAACATCACATTAAGTTCTCTTTTATGTCAAGCTACTAATAATAAAATCACCCAATGTATTATAAAATATCACATACATACATTACTAACTATAAACAAAGTTTATATATGTTAATAATTAATTAATCACTACTATCACTCTCAGAAATACATTCAATATTTTCTTCCTCAGATGTATAATAATCTTCAAATTCTTCTTCCTCTTTATCCTCTTCCTTAATTTCTCTATTATCATCCACATCCTCAAATTCTACGTAAATAGCAAATATAGTCTCATCAATATGTTGAATAGGTTCACATAATATGACATCTAATTGGGTCAGTTGAGGAGCTAGAGGGTCATCATCCTAAAAAATGGGTTCTGGATCATCATGTTGTTTCTCTTGTTCATCTAGCATCTCAATAAAACTTCTTGCCCAAAATTTCAATGTAGCAAGCCATCCCTTTCTAAAAGAATTATGTAATGGATATAGAATGTAATACACTTGTTTAGCTTGACTCGCCAAGATAAAAGGCTCATAAGTTCTCAATTTTTTATTTGGATTAATATCAATGAGACGGTGTTTTCGATCAACTATAATTCCTCGTGTAGGAGGAATTTCATATTGTCACGCCCCAGAACCCAAATCCGGGGACGTGGCAGACGCCGTACACTCGTGAGACGGGTCCCACAAGTGCACAAGGCTCGGAACTTAATCATATCATACTCTGATACCATCAAAATCTGAAGATCAAATCTTTAAAATCTATGTTCAATTACAATATGGCTAGCCTTCTAACTCGTCACTTCCCGTGGTTTCCCCGTCCTCGGTTTCACTTCCTGAAATGGTGAATAAGGAAAAACTATGAGATAAACTCAGTAAGTAAATATGAAGTGCCCTTAATTAAACTTATAGCATGCCAACATGTGCAATCAGAAAAACGGATACAGTACAGAAACAAAATAGACGTCTCCTCTATAGGTTACGGCCAGTGTATAATCCCCACTAACAGGGCCACTATTTGCTGGTGTATAACCCCCACTAGCTGGGTTGAACGAACCGGCTCTATCACTACATGTCGACATGTGCTAGCGTTTATAACCTCCCCCACTAGCAGGGTCACGAATAACATGACCACATCGTAGACAAAACAGGCAGAAGTTAACAGAAAAATCATAATTCACTATCACTTTCAAATCGTCAGGACAATTCACAATCACTTTCAAGTAGGCATGCTCAATTTAATGAAAAACATAAACATTTCACTTCAAATCAGTCATGCTCGTGTAAAACGGGTTTAGTCCCGCCACCACTTCAAAAACAAATCAAAACATGCTTTCAAAAACTATACGGGCATTACCATAAATTTACTTACCTCACTCCATAAAACCGAGCACTCAATCTCAGTGCTAACTGACAAAACGATCGGAAACCTAATCAAAAAATCCAAGAATCAATACCATACTATCACAAATTCACACTGAAATCATCATTAGGATCATTCCTAATCACAATGCTATTTCCATAAATCTCCACATGATCAAATATCTCCAAAATCTCACAACAATCTAAATCAAGTTAATCTACACTTAAACCAAGCTTAAAACATGCTCAAAAGCTACCGGAATTTCCCCCATTTTTCCAACACAATTCGGACATACAAGGCAGCAAACTAAATGGACAATTTAAGCCTTAAAAGGCTGTCACATACCATAATTCTCCAGCTGTAGAAACCGAAGCTGTAGGGGGAGAGAAGCCGGCGGCAAGTGCAGGGGAAGCTCACGGGAACTACCCAATATTGAAGGAAATAAGAGCAATCAAAGTTAACCCAAGCCAATTCAAGCAAGAACAAAGGAATTAGGGGCTGTTCTTACCGAAAAAAATGCCCAGAAATCACCCACAATCAAGAGCAGCCGGCGGAAGGACAAAGCAGAGCAGGGCAGATCCGGCTTTTCCAGCAGGGGAGGGAGATTTCTGGGTTCAAGAACAAGAAAAGGAGGAGAAATCTTCAAGCTTTCTCACCGGTTCCCTCAAGCATGGCTGGGTTCTCCCTTTTTTGTTTTTGCTCAGTGCAGGGGAGGGTCGGGAAGAGCAGAACACGCGGGCTGGAAGAAAAGAAAGAAGAGAAAAAGAAAAAGAAAGAAGCTGATCCTTATCCAATATTTTCCCCTTTTTAAGTCCCTCAACTTTCAGAATATTCACACTAGGCCCCAAAACAATATTTCCTCACAATTTAGTCCTTAACTCACGCATTTATTCTAGAAATTTTTGGGGTATTACACATACCAATCACATTAAATGAAACAACCGTCTGTCGATGTTTGGAGCCAATATATTAAAGTTCAATCACTTCCTGCAACAATCCATAAAATTCAAATTTGATTCTGTTCCTATGGTTCCCGTGACACACCCCATTATTCATTGTTTTCTTGTTTTTTCCATATGAGGCAATGTGAAATCGAAAACCGTTTACCCAAAGCCTTTATAGCATGAAACTATTCAAGAAAGACCACAAGCCAAACCAATCAAATACTCATCAATGCCCTCAAACTCATCACATAAAACTTATATTACATGAGTCATTTTATTAGTTATATGTATATAATAATTAATTAACAATAATTAAAATTTATGATTTTACTTATCGATTTTTCAAACCATGATATAAGATAATTGGAATGTTTCATTTGTATTTGTTATGGAGGTATATTATGACATTTTTCCTCTTTGAAAGCCCTAATCAAGAATCCATTATAATTGTGTGTAAATTAAAACAGTTCATTTAATTTCTTAAATTTCATTAAGGATAAGGATTAGGAAAATGCATTCACTCAATCCATCCCTTTAGTTCTTCACAATTCATTAGAACATAACACATTGTAGCGTTACGTTCCTCTATTGTCAACACTCGTTGTTGTAGAGAACCAATTGGTTTTTCAAGATTATTGAATATTAAAAGGCCAATATTAATAGAATGGCCCAAGCCAACAAGATTCTTAGGAATGCGATCACCTCTTATCTCAACTTCTCTTTCAAAATAAAGCAAGATAAAGTATGAGATCTCACTCATTATATAATTCTCATATATTGATTCTTTTGGA